TCCAGGTGAGTAAAAACCCCCCAAAACCACAACTTTGAAGGCTGGAAATGGAGATTTTTATTCCGTTCAGCCCCGTTTTCCCCACGGGACCCTCCCCCCTCCTCCCTCCCCCCCCTCCCCAGGGCCAGATTTTGGGTTAAACTTTAACCAGCGTGGACTTTGCCTTTATTTTCACCTCATTTCAGGGCACCCTGGTAATTTTTAAGGGCTTCTGCTCGTTTAAAAATATCAATTTGGTGGTTTTTAAGAGGGTTTGGGCCGCTCTTCGCAGAGTTTGGAAAGTTTTTAAGGCGGTTTTGATCCTTTTTCAGGGGGTTTCGCTCATTTCTGAGAGGATTTTGGTTGGTTTTTGGGGGGGATTTGGTAGCTTTGAAGGAGGTTTCCATAATTTTTCAGGGGGCCTTGATAAATTTTAGGGGGGTTTGTTTATTTTTAGAGGAGTTTGGGCAGATTTTAAGGAGATCTTGATAATTTTTAAGGTGGTTGGGGAGTTTTTAAGGGCGTCTCGAGAGTTTTTAAGGAGGTTTTGGGCATTTTTAAGAGGGGTTTGGCAGTTTTTTTGGAGGTTTTGAGAGTTTTTAAGGAGGTTTGGGTGAGTTTTGGGCGAGTTTGGTCGTTTTTTAAGAGGGTTTTGGCAGCTTTTTCCTCGTTTTTAGTCAGTTTTTGGTCGCTTTTCCGCGGGTTTGGTGATTTTTAAGTGGGTTTGGGCGGTTTTGAAGAGGGCTCCGATAGTTTTCGAGGGCCTTTGGGAGTTTTTAAGTGGGTTTGGAGGGTTTTTGAGAGGTTTTTGGCTGCCTTTCAATGCCTTTTTGCCACGTCGGGCTTTCCCTTCCCCTCCCCGGGGCGGGAGTTGCTGCTTCGGCTCTGGGGGCGGGCGAAGCTTCCCGGGAGGGATCCGGGGCATCGTTTTGGGGGCAAAATGGGGGGTTTGGCTCGTTTTTAAGAGGGTTCTGGTGCTATTTCAGGGTGTTTTTTAGTTTTCAGTGTGTTTTTGTTGCCTCTCAAGGCTTTTTTTGCCACCTCGGTGCTGGGAGGCCCTGGGTTTCACTTCCTCTCCCTGGGGCTGTGGGGAGGGTGAAGCTTCCTGGGGGTGTTTCCAGACCTAATTTTAAGGGTAAAAAGAGGGGTTTAAGAGGGTTTTAAGAGATTCAAAAGGGTTTTTCCTCTCTAATCCCCTCCTAGTCCCCCCCAGCCCCTTGGCCTGGCCCTGATCCCCGAAGGATGCTGAAGAAGAGCAGTTGGGGCACTCTGGGTGTCGTGTGTCAGGGTGTCATTTTGGGGATAAAATGGGTGTAAAAAGAGGATTTTATGAAGGTTTTGAGTGTTGTTTTTCCCCTCTAACCCCCCAGCCCCATGGCCCAGCCCTGATCCCTGAAGGATGCCAAAGAAGAGCAGTTGGGGTACTCTGAGTGGTGTGTGTCAGGATGTCATTTTGGGTGTAAAAAGAGGATTTTATGAAGGTTTTAAGTGTTGTTTTTCCCCTCTAACCCCCCCAGCCCCATGGCCCGGCCCTGATCCCTGAAGGATGCCGAAGAAGAGCAGCTGGGTGCTCTGGGGGGCGGCGCTTTTCCTGGCCTGGAACGGCCTCCTGCTGCTCTTCCTGTGGAGCCGCCCGTCCCCCCCGGGCTCCGAGGCGGCGTCGCGGCTGCCGTCGGAGCTCATCCGGCTGGCCCAGGACGCCGAGGCCGAGCTGGAGCGGCAGAAGGAGCTGCTGCGCCAAATCCACCGGCTGAGCGGGCTGTGGCGGCTGCGGCGGCGCCCGACGGCCCCGGCGGCTTCTCCGGCTCTCCCCGCGCCCAGCTCGGCGCCCGCGGAGGCGGCGCCGGTGCTGCCGGTGCTGGTGCTGGCGTGCGACCGCAGCACGGTGCGGCGCTGCCTGGACAAGCTGCTGCGCTACCGCCCGTCGGCGCGGCGCTTCCCGGTGATCGTCAGCCAGGACTGCGGCCACGCCGAGACCGCGCGCGTCATCGCGTCCTACGGCGACGCCGTGGCCCACATCCGGCAGCCCGACCTGAGCGACATCCCCGTGCCGCCCGAGCACCGCAAGTTCCAGGGCTACTACCGCATCGCGCGGCACTACCGCTGGGCGCTGGGCCAGGTGTTCCGCACCTTCCGCTACCGCGCCGCCATCGTGGTGGAGGACGACCTGGAGGTGGCCCCCGACTTCTTCGAGTACTTCGAGGCGGCGCTGCCGCTGCTGCGCCAGGACCGCACGCTGTGGTGCGTGTCGGCCTGGAACGACAACGGCCGCGAGCAGATGGTGGACGCCTCGCAGGCCGAGCTGCTCTACCGCACCGACTTCTTCCCGGGGCTGGGCTGGCTGCTGCTGGCCGAGCTGTGGGACGAGCTGGAGCCCAAGTGGCCGCGCGCCTTCTGGGACGACTGGATGAGGCAGCCGGAGCAGCGGCGCGGCCGCTCGTGCGTGCGGCCCGAGGTGTCGCGCACCGTCACCTTCGGCAGGAAGGGCGTGAGCCACGGCCAGTTCTTCGACCAGTACCTGAAGTTCATCAAACTCAACGACCGCTTCGTGCCTTTCACCCGGCTGGACCTGTCTTACCTCAAGAAGGACGAGTACGAGCGCTCCTTCCTGCCCAGGGTGTACTCGGCGCCCGAGGTGAGGGTGGAGGAGCTGCAGGGCAACAGGAGGAGGGAGCTGGGGGCCGTCAGGCTCCAGTACAGCGGCCGAGACGCCTTCAAGGCCTTCGCCAAGGCCCTGGGGCTCATGGACGACCTCAAATCCGGCGTCCCCCGCGCCGGCTACCGCGGCATCGTCAGCTTCGTGTACCGGGGCCGCCGCGTCTACCTGGCCCCCCCCCAGGACTGGACGGGCTACGACCCCACCTGGAGTTAGCGCCCGACCCCCCCCGCAGCGCTCTGGGGGGTTCTCCCCCTCTCGGAGGGGTCCGGGGTGGGCTCGGTGCCGTTTGGTGCCCCCCGGGCCGAGCGGGGCCCAACAAAGGTGGTTTTGCAGAATAAAAGGTCGAAAACGGAACTCCCGCCTCGGAATTCCCCACCCGTGGCTCCCGCTTGGAGCGGGCACCCTGCCCTGGCGAAGTTCTGGGGGGTTCCCCTCGTTATTTTAGGGGTTTGGGTGCCCCAGCTGAGCATCACCCAATCGCCATCGCTCGTGGCGCCGAAGTTATTTTGCAGAATAAAAAGGTCAAAAATGGAAATCTCTCCCCAAAAATTCGGGTCGTTTCGGTCAGCCGGGTCCTGCCTGGAGTTGGCAGCGTTTTTGGGGGGGTTTGGTGTGGGGTTTTGGTGCCCCAGCCGAGCGTCCCTGGGTGCTGAGAGGTTATTTAGCAGAATAAAGGGTCAAAAGCGGAGATCCCACCCAAAACCGGTGTGTCCCCCCCGGTCCCCCCCGGGATTTTCCCATCCTGCCCCGCGCGGGACTACCCCTCCCAGCGGCCCCCGCGGCGCCGCGCGCGGTGGGCGGGGCTTCGCCGCCATCTCGGCGCGGTCCCCTCGGCGGCGCGTCCGGCGGCTCTTAAAGCGGGCACGGCCCGCGGTGGGGCCCCCTCGGCGCGGGATGGAGCGCGCGGCGGCGGAGGAGGTGCGCGGGCACGGGGAGGGGGCGGGGGGCGGCGGAAGAGGACGGAGGCCCCAAACCCCGGCTCTTCCCGTCCCGACCGCCGCCGTTTTGCCGCCACCGCCCCCACCGCTTTAAGGCCCGGCGGCGGAAACGGGCGGCGGGGGAGGCCCGGGGAACGGAGGGGCGGGGCTTGAGCGGGAGGGCGGGGCCAGAGGGAGGTGACACCGGGGGTCCGAGGGGCAGGGCCAATGTGAGGGGCGGGGCTTGGGACAGTGCAGGGTCTCCCCCTCAGACCCCCTTCTTTGTGACCTCCCCTCGACCCCTCCCCGTGACCTCAGGCCACCCCCAGGATACCCCCGTGTGCCCCCGTGATCCCAGTCACGCCCGTATCCCGGGCCACCTCCCGTGATACCTGCCCCCGTGATCCCAGTCACCCCCAGTATATCCCTGTGTGCCCCCATGATCCCGGTCACCCCCGTGATCCCGGTCACCCCCGGCCACCCTCTGTGCCCCCCATGATCCCGGTCACCCCACCGTGATCCCGGTCACCCCAGGCCACCCCCGTGTGCCCCCGTGATCCAGTCACCCCCGGGATCCTGGTCACCCCAGGATATCCCCGTGTGCCCCCCGTGATCCCGGTCACCCCTGGGCCACCCCCGTGTGCCCCGTCACCCCGGGATATCCCGTGTGCCCCGTGATCCCGGGATACCCTCCTGTGTCCCTGTGTCCCCACCTGAACTCCCCCCAGACACCCCCATGGAGCCAGGGCACCCCAAATTCCTCACCTGAACCCCCCTATGAATATGGGGCACCCCAAATTCCTCACCTGCAAAACCCCCGCCAAAGCCAGGACACCCCAAATTCCTCACCTGACCCCCCATGGAGCCAGGACACTCCCAATTCCTCACCTGACCCCTCAGCCCCTCCCTGTCCCCCAGCCCACCCCAGTGACCCCAGGTGTCCCCCTGACCCCTGGGTGTCCCCCAGCCCACCCTGACCCCCGGGTGTCCCCCCAGCCCCCTGCCCATGGCTGTGGGCGGGGGGGTCGCCCCCGTGCCCCCGAGGTGCTGCGGCGGCAGCGGCGCCGGGAGTTGGACGCGCGGCGGAGCCGCTGCCGGATCCGCATCGGGGGGCACCTGGAGCGCTGGTGCCGCCTCAAGGAGCAGCTCGGCTTCGCCCTGCACTCCCAGCTGGCCCAGTTCCTGCTCGACAGGTACCTGGGGGAGCCCCCCAAAACCCCCCCGGGGCTGGGGCCGGGCCGGCTGTGCCCCCACTCACCCCCCTGTCCCGCAGGTACAGCGACCCCGGCGGTGCCAGGAGCGCAGGTGGGTCCTGCCCCTCCCAGCTGGGGAGCCCTTTCCTCCCGGATTTCCCAGTTTCCCCTGCCTGACCCCCGTTTTGGGGTGGGTTTCTCAGGGGTTTTGGTGTCTCCCAGGGTCTCCGGAGCCGGGCCAGCTGCCGGCAGCGTCCCTGCAGCGCCTGGTGGTTCTGTCCCACGGGCACGGCCAGGAGTGCGGCTTCGTGCCCGACGTGCAGCCACGGGCGCCGGGCAGCGCCGCCCCGCTGGTCTGGGAGTGCCTGGCCGGGCACAGCTTCTCCTGGGGGGGCCCTGCCAGCCCCCCCCGGGACCCCCAGCCCGGCCAGCAGGGCCAGGATCCCCCCCCAGCACCCAGAGCACGAAGGGGAACCCCGGACCAGGAGCAGGAGGAGCAGGAGGAGGGCACGGCCGGGTCACCCAGTGGGGACAGCAGGGCAGGAGGGGGGCACAGCGGGGCTGGGGGAACAGGTGAGTGCCCTGGGGTCACCTCAGCACCCCCTGGTTCCCCTCCATCAGCACCCCTCCATCACCCCCTGGTTCCCCTCTATCACACCCCCTGCTCCCCTCCATCACCCCTGGTTTCCCCTCCATCAGCACCCCTGTTCCCCTCCATCCCAGCACCCCTGTTCCCCTCCATCAGCCCCACCCATCCCGCTCCAGGGGGCTCATCTGCCCCCTCCCGCTGGGATCAGGGCTGTCCCAACCCTAGCACCCTTCCCCTGCCCTCCATCCTCTCACCCTGCTCCTTTTCCTCTCAGAGCCCCCTCAGTCACCCCCTGTCCCCTCCCACCCCCTCACCCTGTCCCCTCACACCCTCAATCACCCCCTGTCCCCTCCCCACCCCATCACCCCCTAACCCCTCCCACCCCCCATCACCCCTGTCCCCTCCCACCCCCATCACCCCTGTCCCCTCCCACCCCCCATCACCCCCTGTCCCCTTGCAGCCCCAGGTGCCCCCAGAGCCGTGTCCCGTGGCAGCAGCGGGTGGGAGGTGAGTGGTGCCCCCCCCCAGATTGTCCCCTCCTTTGGGCCCATCCTGGCCCCCAGGCTGATCCCCCCCCGTATCCATGTCCATATCCATGTCCTGCAGCCCCCAGCCGGAGCAGAAGGAGCAGCAGGAACAGCAGAGGGGGGCTGAGCCCCAGGGGGAGAAGGAGAAGGAGGAGGAAGGTGAGGAGGAGGAGGAGGAGGAGGAAGGAGAGGAGGAGGAAGATGACCTGGCCTACAGCGATGACCTGAGGGACCAGAGCTACCACCCCTCCCCGGGCAGGTGAGGAGCTGTGGGGGCCCTGTGGAACCCACACGTGTCCAACCCATGTCCTTCCATGTCCAACCATGTCCAACCCATGTCCAACCCGTGTCCAACCATGTCTAACCCGTGTCCAACTCCCATCCAGCCAATCCCCCAATACCCCCCATCCCTCCCCCACAAACCCCCTGACCCCCATCTGTCCCCCCGTTGTCCCCGCGGTGTCCCGGGCCGCGCTGCGGCAGAGCCGACCCGGGCCCGCAGGAAGCCCCTCAGGAGGAGCAGCCCCTGGAGCCCCCTGGAGCCCCCCTGCCCAGCCCCAGCCCCCAGAGGAGAGGAGCGGCCGTGGGTGAGTGGGGGCACAGCAGGGAGAGGACAGCGGGGAGGGGCGTTGGGGTCACCGAGGGGCGTTTGGGGGCACTCAGGGGGTTTCTCTCTGTCTGAGCTCTGAGGAACCAGCTGGAACCACCAAAAGGGGACAAACCTGGAGGGCAGGGCACGAGCTGAGTGTCCCCAAGGGGGGGTCCACCCTCCCTGTGACCCCCAAGGGGGGCTCCAGCCCCTCTCCGACCCCCTGGCCATGGGGCAGATGGGTGTCCCCGGGCCTGGGGGGTGCTGAGCACCCAAAGGAGGGGGGCTCTCCTCCCTGCCCTGCCTGGGGGGGCTTCCCAAGCCTGGGGGGGCTTCCCAAGCCTCGTGGGGAGCCAGGAGAGGCCGAGGGGGCAGGGGGTGGCCTCGAGAGGGGCACAAAGACCCCTGAACCCCTCCCATGGTGGGCACTGGAGTCTCTCCTGGATGGGCCTGGCCCCAAATCCATGGATCCCTCCCCTCTGGCAGCACCACCATATCCCCCTGGGCAGAGCTGGGGCTCAGGGGTGGCTCCCACCTGCCCTTCCCGCTCAGAATTCCCTGGTTTGGGACTCAGTGCTGGCTCCCACCTGCCCTTCCCGCTCAGAATTCCCTGGTTTGGGATAAATGAGCCCAAAATCCCTCCCTTGGGGGGCTCTGCTGGGCTGGGGCTGCTCTGGGTGGGGTCCCCCCGGGCTGTGACCCCCCTGGACTCCTCCCCTGGATGGATTTTCTGCCATTTCTGACCTGGCCAAGGGGTTGAAATCCCCTTTTCCACCCGGGACCAGCAGCAGTCCCGCCCCAGCCCTGTGCCCAGGTGAGTCCAGCTGCTCCTCTGCGGCTCCAATTGACCTTTTCCCTCCTTTGAGAGGCAATTTTTGGGTGCTGAACCTCCTCCCCCCTCTCCTGGCAGCTCCAGATCCGCCTCCCACGGGGCTGGAAGGGCAGGGACCCTCCTGGAGCCCCGAGCCCAGGGCAGGTAACGCTGGATTTGCTCTTCCCCCACCCCCATCCCGGGACCCCACGTCCAGTTTTGGGGGTGGAAAGCTCTGGGTGGGGTCTGGGCCCTCCTTGCTGAGGCCAAAAGTGAATTAAATGTGGGTTTTTTCCTCCCCCCTCTGGTGTTTTTTTGGGTCCTGCCTGGTTTCTGTCCCAAATCCCGGGGTCCAGATCCCCAAAGTTACCCCTGGGATTTTGGGAAGGGGCTCCCACGGCACCAAAGCCCAGCCTGAGCTTCGGGTCAGCCCTGTTAGGGCTGAGTTTGGTGACAGGGATCGTATTTTTAACCATTTCCTTAATTTTTGTCACAGCAAATGGGAAGTGGAGAGAAAACCCCGGGTTGTGAGCAGAGCAGGAGCTTCCAGACCCTCAGGGGCCTCCCCCTCTCCTCCCTTCCCCAGGTAAAGCCACCCCTGAGCTGATAAAACCTGGGTTTAAGCTCCTTGGGGACCCCAAATCCCAGCCCCTCTCCCCATCCCCCCATTCCTCCCCCTTTAATCCCATTTTTGATGGATCTCCCCTCAATTCCAGGGCCCAGCCAGGAAGAGCTGCTGTTCCCAGGGGCTGAGCCGTGGATCAGAGCGGGCTGGGACCCCCAGCCAGGGCGTGGGGGGGAATTTGGGCACCCCCAATAAAGGATTTGTTCCCCCCTGGTGCCTGAGCCTGTGTTTGTTCCAGCGCCTCCTGCCCTGGGGGGAGAAGGGGGAGGAACAGGAGAGACCTGGGGGCCTGGGGGGAGTTTAGGGGGGAGCCTGGTGGCTCCTGGTCTGGGGACAGCGAGGGGACAATGGGGGGACAATGGGGGGACAATGGGGGGACAATGGGGGGGCTCACCCAGCTCTTTCCCGTTGCAGCTGCGGGCGGAGGAGCCGGAGCAGCGACGAGGAGGCGGCTCAGATCGGCCCCAAAAGGATCAGGTGCCTGGGAAGGGGGGCAGGGAAGGGGCTGGGGGAGTTCCCGGGGCTCTCCCCGGGCCCTGGGGAGGACGAGGGGCAGCTCAGCCCCTGCCCGGGCTCCGGAGGGCTCGGTTTGCCCAGGAGGT